TTTATTTTTTTACGTTGTAACCTAAGATTTTGCACCTAGGTACCTAGTACATAAATGGCGACATTGTAAATTTTTCACTGTATTCCTGTATCCCCTGCACTTGAGTACACATGTGAATAAAACCTAATTCTAATTCTTAAGAATATTACACTTCCAAAAAAAGTTGTTCATTCATTTTTCATTCATTAAACTGCAGGTTGTTGACTCCTGTTCAATTACTAGTCTAATTAAAAAATGTTCTGATGAAATTTAATTTGTTGAATCTCCTAGACTGTGAAATTGTTTTTTAGCAGTTGCTATTGAAAATTGGTAACATGTTTCACGCACCTGCTCAATTCATCAAAGATCAATTTCACCTCACTCGTCTCATTTCTAATTATTTTACCAGCAACATTGTGTGTTTGTGAAGATTACCTGATTTGATATTTCCACTATTACTTTACAATGTATCGGCAATAGAAAGAGTACAGAGGAAATTCTCGCTAATGCATTCTCATTATTTGTGCCCAAGGTGCCCAGAGAATTTGCACACTCCTGTAATTGCAGGAGTAGGCATTTAGCCAATTAAATTATAGTTGATCTGCAACCTAAGTCCACACAGTGACATTTGTATCCCTATCCCTTGATACTTTTCGATAACAAATTTTAAACCTGAGATAGGTTTTTTATAATTCAATCATTCAGCATTAATTGCTGTTTGTGGGAAAGATTCTAAACTTCTAGCACCCTTTTTTTCCTTGTATCACTCTGAAAGTCTGGCTCAAATTTGCAAACTGCACAGACTCATCAAAGAATCCCCAGTCAACTGCAATATGTTATTTCTATTTAACTCATCTGTCCTCCGAAATATCTTGCAAGCATCAAATAATTCATCCCTTGGCCTTCTAAAATCAAAAGAGTGCAATGTTAAGTTTGTGCAATCTTTTGTCATAATTTAACTCTTGGATTCCAAGTAAGGTCCTGGTAAACCTAGGCGGCTTTCCTCACAAGGTCAATATATTTTTTCCAGTAATCTAACTAAGGTGCTGATTAGCTGAAGTGTAACTTTGAACTCCTTTCATTATAATTTTATAGGTATAAATGTCAGCATTTTGATAATGTTCCAGCTGCCTCAGGAAAGCAGCCAACATAATCAAAGACGCCTCCCACCTTGGGTTTTACTCTCTTCCACCATCTTCAATTAGGCAAGAGACACAAAAGTTTGAAAACACTTACCATCAGATCCAAGAACAGTTTCTACCCCACTGTTATCGGACTTACAAATGGACCTCTCATATGTTAAAGTCAATCTATCTCTGCACCTTCTCTATAGCTGTAACACTCTCTATTCTGCTTCTGTTCTATTACCCTGATGTACTTGTGTAAGGTATGAATTGTCTGGTTGGCAACTAAGACAACACTTTTCACAGTATTTTGGTGCATGTGACAATAA